TGGTTTGAAACCTCCATACTGAGAATTTTGTGTGAAGAGGTTTCTGGCTGGTAATGCCCCCAGCACTAGGCAGAAGCAGATGCAAACCCTCTCTGGAAGAAACCATCTTCTACCCAGGTCTCAAAGAATTACCAGAGAGAAAATTTACCCTTCTAACCACATAATCAAACAATATAAAACAAAGAAGGAAACACGGTTCTGGGAGCAAGAGGTGAGAAACAACAGAATCAAATTTGCAAAAACTTCAGATATTGACACTAACAGACACAAAGTGTAAAATAAGCATGTTTAATTATTGAAAGAATTCAAGAATGATCTAAACATATGAGTAAGGAGCAAGAGATTATAAAACATGACAATATGACTAAGAATGTTTGAAAAAGAATCAAATAGGGCTTCATAAAGTACAAACCATATTTGAAATTAAATAAATCTTCAGTGAATAAATCTAACAGAGGCTAGACACAGCTGAACAGAGAATTAATGAACAGAATGAGAGAGAGAAAGTATGAGAGAGGTTAAGAAACACAGATGATGGAGTGAGAAAGATGAACATATCTTGTCAGGCTTCTAGAAGATGAAAAAAGAAAATAAAAGAGGTAACATTTGAAAAGATAATGGCTATTTTCCCAAGCTGATGAAAGACATAATCCATAGATTCAAGAAACTTAATTAAACAGGATGAATAAAAAAAATATTCACACCGGCTGGGCGCGGTGGCTCACGCCTGTAATCCCAGCACTTTGGGAGGCTGAGGTGGGCGGATCACGAGGTTGGGAGATTGAGATCATCCTGGCTAACACGGTGAAACCCCATCTGTATTAAAAACACAAAAAATTAGCCGGATGCGGTGGCAGGCACCTGTAGTCCCAGCTACTCGGGAGGCTGAGGCAGGAGAATGGCGTGAACCCAGGAGGTGGAGTTTGCAGTGAGCCAACATCGCACCACTGCACTCCAGCCTGGGCGACAGAGTCAGACTCCACCTCAAAAAATAAAAATAAAAAAATAAAAAAAATTCACACCTAGACACATAAGGGTGAAACTACGTAACACTAAAGAAAAGTAAAAGACAGTAAGAGCAGCCAAAAGGATGTCATACAAAGCAAGGACAATAAACTGACAGTGAAACCCAGAAGACACCGGAATATTTCCATGTGCAGAGAGAATGGAACTATCAACTGATAATCAAATGTCTGGTGAATACCAGCATTCTTTCAAGAATGAGGGTAAGCAGACATTTTAAGACAAAGAAAAAATTATACATTAAGTTCTATGCTCACAAACTGGGTGACAGGATCCATACCCCAACCTTAGCATCATGGAATATATCCATGTAACAAACCTGCACATGGACCCCCTGAATCTAAAATAAAAGTTGAAATTGTTTTTTAAAAGGACAAACAAGAACTAATAGAGTTTTTTATCGACAAGAAAATAAATTTTAAAGCATGTATTTGCACTGAAAGATATTCCAAAGAAAAGGACTGATGTACAAGAAGGAGTGGTAAAAAAGGAGCGGTAAATATATGAGTAAATCTAACCGGACAGTGGCTTTATTAAACAATAACAATAATAACTTGAGAAAAATTAAGGTAACATAATACACACACACCATAGAGTATGAATCGGAAGGAATGATTAAAGTCACAGTGTCCTAAGATCCTTGGTTTTTCAGGAACACAAAATTATTGTTTAATGCTAGGCTTTATTAAGTAGGCATATTGCTATTTCTAGAGTATTTTAGGACAAATTTCAAAGAATAAAAAGATTGTATAACTCACAAGGTCTAAATTCTTTAGTTAAAAGACAAATGGTCAGAGGGGATTTTGAAAATCCACAAAACACATATAAAGCACAAGGAAGTAGAAAAGTTAACAGTAAGAGAATAGGAAATATTTATTAGACAAAGACCAAGAGAAAACCGACACAATGGAGGTTAAAAACATTACTACAGATATAAACAGTTACTACATAATTATTTTTGAAACAGTTCAATTTACCAGGAAGATATATAATTCTGAGTTTCAACTTTCATGCTCCAATAACACAGTCTCGAAATACATGAAGCAAAAATTGACAGAACTTTAAAGAATAATAGGCAAACCCACCATCATAATGGAAGACTTTAATATTCCTCCATCTGCCATTGATTGATCACGAAGACAAGAAAAATCAATGAAGATATAACAGATACAAACACAATGAACAAACTTGATGTAATGGGCATACTAGAAAACAAAAACTGCAAAATGCAGGGTTTTGTTTTTCAAGCCTACACAGAATCTATGTGAAAAATGACCATTTCCGGTCCTAAAAGCACAAATTTCAACTGATTCAAATAAAGATCAATGTTCTCTGACCACAAGATTTAGAAACAGTAGGAAAGAGACAGCTAGAAAAATCCTTTGGAAATTAAAAATACTTCTAAATAGTTCATGGTTAAAAGATGAAACAATAATGTAAATTAAAAAATATTCAGAACTAAACTGTAACAGAAAATAAATAACTATAAAAATCTGTAGGTATGTAGCCAAAGTAGTCCTTAGAGGGAAATTTGTAGCCTTTGATGCTGAAATCAGATTGAAAAATAATGAACAAAGCACCAAAATTAAGATGCTAGAAAAAGAACAACAGAATAAACCCAAGTGCATTAGAAGGAAGAAAGTAATAAAGATGAGAGCAGAAACTGATAAATTAGCAAATAAATATATTAAAAGGAATAGTAACAAAACAAAAATTCATCTTCTGAAAAGACTAACAAATGTTAAACTACTGCCAATACCAATTTAAAAAATGATATAAATTAGAAATGAAAAAGGAAATTGAAACACAACAATGGCAGGTATCATAACTATAATAAGAGATAGTATATATAACTTTATATCTGATAAATTTTAATATTTACTAAAATGGAGTCAAGAAAAAAAACAGATGACCAAAATAATTCTTCAGTCGTTACATGTATTAAGTCTATAGTCTAAAATCTTCAAACAAAGGAGACACCAGATGCAGACAGTTTTGCTGAAAAATTTCACCAAACTTTCAAGGCAAAAGTTATGTCAATCTTCCACTAATAACCCCAAAGGATAGAAATACAGGAAATACTCTTCAAATCATTTTCTGAAGCTAGCAACATATTGACACAAAAATTGGCAAAGGCAATATGAAAAAAAATAACAGGCCAAGCTCACTAACAAAATAGAAACAAATTACTAAACAAAATCAAATATAGGCATATATAAAAATGACAATACTAAATGACCAAATTACGTTCATCTTAAGAATGCAAGGTTGGTTCCACATGAGAAAAGGCAATATTTGCTATGCTAAGAGAATCAAGGAGAAAAATTATATGATTGTATCAATAGATATAGGAAGATGCTTCATAAAATTCAATATCCATTCTTGATAAAAGCCCTTAGCAAAGTAGGATTAGAAAGTAAATTCCCCTATTCTATTATAAAAGGAGTACCTACAAATGAAAAATAAACTTCAGCAAACATCATACTTGATGGTGAAGAAATAAAAACATTCTATTAAATATCAAACAATGACCATAGGGGTCACCATCATAATAATGACTTGATGTTATACTGGGAGGTTCCAGCCAGAACAGGCAAGAAAATAAAAAAGAAAAGGTATAAGGATTGGAAAGTAGAAACAAAACCAAAAATTTTTTTTTTTTTTTTTTTTTTTTTTTTTTTTTGAGACGGAGTCTTGCTCTGTGCCCCAGGCTGGAGTGCAGTGGCGCGATCTCGGCTCACTGCAAGCTGTGCCTCCCGGGTTTACGCCATTCTCCTGCCTCAGCCTCCCGAGTAGCTGGGACTACAGGCGCCTGCCACCACGCCCGGCTAATTTTCTTGTATTTTTAGTAGAGACGGGGTTTCACTGTGTTAGCCAGGATGGTCTCGATCTCCTGACCTCGTGATCCGCCCGTCTCGGCCTCCCAAAGTGCTGGGATTACAGGCTTGAGCCACCGCGCCCGGCCAAAACCAACATTTTTTGCAGATGATGACTATCCACATAGAAAACCCCAAAGAATCAAGATACATTTTAACAAGATAGTTGCTAATATAAAAATCAAAGTACAAAATCAATCGCATTTCTAAACACCAGCAAGAAACAGGTAGAAAGTATAATTTTAAAAGATTTGATTTATAATAGCAACAATAAATATAAGATATTTACGAGTGAATATATTAAGAAATGCATAAAATATGTAATGGAAAAAATTATACAAATTTATTGCAAGCCATTAAAGAAACCCTAAACAGAGAGATATACCATACTCATGGACTGGAAGACTCAGTATCAAAAATCTATCAGTTCTTCTCCAATTAATCTGTAGTTTTGATAAAATTAAAATAAAGATTCCAACAGGTTATTTTGTGGATCTTGGCAACACACTTGTAAAATTTATAAGAGAGAACAAAGGGTGCAGGAAAAAAAAAAAAAAAACTAAACAGGAAATAAATATGAAAAAATGTATGTAGAAGTGCAAAACTACATACAATAACTTAGATAAATCTTAGGAACATAATTTTTAGTGAGGTTGATTAAGAATACATACATGATTACATTTATATGAAGTTCAAATGTTAGCATACTAAGCAATGTATTTTTAGGGATACACACTTAAGTGCTAAGTATAAAGAAAAGCAAAGGAATAATAAACACACAATTGAGGTAATGGTTACCTCTGAGGGTGTAGGGAATGAAACAGGATTGGTGAGGAACCTGCATCACTAAGGTAACTGATTTTCTTTTCCCCTTAAGCTGGACGATGGCTGCACAGGTGTTTGTTGCATTGTTGTTCCTTATATTTTGCTTATATTTTATATTCTGCTTTTTATCCACTCGATACTAATTTTAAAAACTTAAAAGAACTGTCTGCAGAGAATCTACCACCAGTAAGTTCTGAGTTTGAAAAACCTTGTAGGCCAACTGTTCCCAACCTAGCCCTGCCCACAGAACACCACCCTGCTCCCCAAGAGCCTTACCTTGGCGGGGTTCAGTGCTGTGATGATCCACACACAGTGTGCGTTGTTGTCATACTGAATGGGGAAATTGGGGGAGGTGATGATGCCCGAGGGGCCTCGAAGGTGGGCATCACACATGCGGGCTGCAGAGGAGATGAAAGACAAGCCTTTGAGTTAAGACTAGGTCCAGTTCCCCTTCTTGCCTCCCACTCCCAGCCCAGAAGACACTGCATCTGTACAGTTCCCACCCTGGACATAACCTTCTGCTTCCTGGGTCCTTCCCCTACAGTTCTTGGGAGGCTTGAAGGGAAGCCGCAGTGCCTGGAGCACTGTGACTGCTGTTCTGTAGGCAATGATGAACTTCCAAGGCAGGCTAAGTGACCCCTCTGCATGCCCCACTTATCCCCACACCCAACTCCACTATGATCATGCAATTCCTCTTTGTCAAGAGGGTGTGGGCCAGAACCTGTCGGGTGACACAAAGCCAGGTGGATCCCGGGTACCTGTGGATACCTAAGCAGCCCACACCTTACTCTGCTGACCTGTTTCCCAATTTGTACTCCAATTCTCCAAACCAGCTGAGTGCTGGTGTGGACCTAACGCGGCTTAACTAGGAGTCTGACCTCATTTCAGGTTCTTCCTGCCCCTCAGTTCCTTCCTCCATGACCCCCTCAGTCCTCCTGAAGAGGAATTTTAGGATATCCTTGTCAAGGCCACTCCATTAGGTCACAGAATGTCTGTGCCCAAGAGCTCTGCCAAGGACCCTGACTTGGCTCAGTGCCAAGCACCCAGAGTGATTTCAGTGCTTCCCAAATATGTCTCCAAACTCAGCTTATCCCTGAAACCAGCTTTTGACTGGAAGCATAAAGATTCAAGGTGAATTAGAAGTACTCTACTCAAGTAGATATAAAGTGTTATCAATCACAGCTTAATCTAATTAAGCTCTTTAAAATAGCTTCTAAACTAATTAGATTAAGTAGTGATTGATAACAGTTAAGGTACTACATTGTACCTAGGTATTTGCTTTCTTTAAAAATGTGTGTTTAGTTCTAGCCACTTCATTCTTTAACGTTAGTGTTCAGCTATTTTAATAAAAGGTTCTAAGAGCCTGTTCTCATGCTGCCCACATGGCAATTTATCCTAATTGTAGACAAAGTGCCTAACAGTAAAGAAATAGTGAGCAAACTCAACAAGCCTAACTATATAAAATGAAAGTGGTGTCAAACCTGGTTTCCTCTGATGGGGCCAAATAGCCTAGAGTTCCTTGCCATGTGTGGAAAGGGCCATGATAAACCTTTCCCAGGGCGCCCTTCCTAGGAAGGTCTGGGAAGCAGGTTCTGCAGCTCCCAGACATAATGAATCTCTTCTCATTTCATGCGCTCATTCCTGCGCTCAGCTCATTTATTCTAACATTTATTGAGTGCCTATTATGGGCCAGGAAAAGTCTGGGGAGAAAAAAGTGTCTGACACAGCCCGCCCTCTCTGAAGGGCCACGGCAAGTGAAGGGAGCAGGTGGAAAAACATTCACCATCAAGCAGAGCAGGTGTTGTCAGAGGGTTATTTGCAAGGGGCTTTTGGGTCAGGTCTGTTACCTCCTCTTTGTTAGCTCATCACCTCCTGGGAGGAGATGTCTTCTCACTCTAGTCCTGCACTGAAAGGATCTGCTCCTCCTTCATCCTGAGCTCAAGAATCTGTTGAATCAAGTCTGAACAAGTCCCAGGGGAATCCCCACTCCATTTCCCCACGTATATCTGATTGCCCCTTTCGTTCTGTACTGAGAAACAGATTCCTAGATTGCACTTGATACAACTGGGCCCTATGGCAATATGGCATGGTTAAAGCGAGATCAGGCTTTAAAATTTATGAACTTAGCCTTCTGGATATAAATTCATTTGCTGGTTGTTTAAGTCCGGATGAGTTAGAAAATCTCTCTGATTTTGTTTCTTCATCTGTAAAATGGGACAAATGGTACCACCTCACTGAGATATGGTGAGGATGAAATTATACGAGATGATGGATGTGAAGGTTCAGCCCAGGGCCTGGGATGTGGTCAATATTCAACCATTGGGACCAGAGATGATCAGACTCCCAACGCCATGTCTATTCTGTTTCTCTATGCCCAGGATTTCTCTCAAGGCTAAGGATCCTTTTTCTGCCTTTCCTGAAGTTTCTTGACACAGGTTTCCCCCTCCCCCCCACAAGTACACTTGAGACTGACAATATTACTAAACAAATTAGAATAAGATAATCAAAGCCCTGATTCCATCCCACCTTTGCAAAGAGGACCTGTGGACTCAGAACTCTAGCCCTGCAGAGAATCCTTACAAAGCTCCACCAGCACCATCTTACACCTCTTCTGGAAAGTCAGATTTTGCTGCCAAAAGCCCTCATCTTCAGACTCAATTTATCTTGTATGTGTTTCCAAGAATTAGATGGTATATTTGCAGTCTGTTGAAACATGCTGAAGGTAATGAGAGAGAACAGGCCAAAAAGGCATTTACCACTTTAAGGGCTTAGAGGGGTTTAATTAAAATATTACAGTCTGCAGATAGCATAGAGCACCTTAAACTAGGTTCAAAATGAAGCATTAGCTGCTTTTTTCCTCTGCTATCTGGGAAGTCAGGGGTTCTGTGGACAGACAGACAGACATCATCCTGAGCAGCCAGCTCCATGGGATCCCACCAACAGATAGAAAGCTCATCACAGTGACCCAGATGGGCAGGCAAAATGGTAGGTGCTCAATGTCTTACTAAATGAATGAACATATCATTTTGTTTCTCTGCCTTTTTCCCTCAAATGTTCTTCTGGATTGCTTTCAGGAGAGACTTCTCTGAGATCTTCCATGCCTGAGCTCTGCAGCCACTCCCATTTTTCCTCTGGACATTACCATATAATAGGAACAGTATCCCGAGGGACCATAGGGAGCTACCACCTGGATCCACAGCCAATTCTGACACTGAAACAACATGGTGCTAAAGAAGGGAACTGCTCCAGGTGCAAGTGCCTCTGGTCTCATATCTTCTCTCCAGATCTGATTCCTATCCTGTTCCATGCTGCCTTCCCTTGCTTCTCCTATTGACCTTCCTCCCAACCCTTTCCACAGTCCTCTGGAACCACCTCCCACTACCAATGCTAAGGAAAACAAATCCTACTTGTAGCTGCAACATCTTTTGGAACCTCCTGCTCCCACCACTGCCTTGACTGAAGCCCATCTTCCCCTCTTATGCTACTGCCTCCTATGCAGCCTTCTGTAGTTAAGATCTTGCTCCCACTCTCAAGTATTTCTTTCACAGTTGTTTTCTGAACCTCCAGTAGAATTCATCTTTCCCTACTGAGACCTCCACTCTGTTGACAGCAATATCTCCTCTCTACCCATCAGCTCCTTCTGTCTTTTCTTCTGTCCTTACACAACTTTGATCCCATGGGCCACCATTAGGCTCATGTTCTTGCTTGTCCCAAGTCCCTTTCTTCTTCCTCTTTTAGTCAGTTGCTTAGAAGACATCAGTTTGGACTGAATCCCTCTACCTGCTTTCTCCATACCTGTCACCATAGAGTTGAGTTTTGCTGTGAAAAGGAAGGCTGAGGCAGGAGAATGGCAGGAACCCGGGAGGCGGAGCTTGCAGTGAGCTGAGATCCGGCCACTGCACTCCAGCCTGGGTGACAGAGCGAGACTCCGTCTCAAAAAATAAAAAAATAAAAAAAAAAAAAAAGAAGAAGATGAATGTCTATTATAAACTCATTACTCATCTCAAAAAAATCCTAGCTATTGCCCAGTGACCCTACCATTTAGCTCTATTAGCTCACTCTCTCATTCTGCTCAAAGACTTTTTCATGTGTTCTAGACATCCCTTGAACACCTTCCTCTTCCTCTTATCTCCCCTTACTCTTAGCTGATGACTTTGGCTCTCTGTTTGGAGGGAACAGAAGCCATCTAGCAGGCGGGTCCTTTGTCCTACTCTCTAAAAATGCAATCCTATCTGCATATGTACTCAATTCCTTTTTCCCTCCTGTTTCAATGGAGAGATGCCCCTTCTTTTGGAGGCCACTGCCGCCTTATGAGATCTGACACCCTGCTCTTCCTCCAACTCATGATCAACCACGTTTATAGCCACACCCAGGGCCCTGCTATCCTGGGAGCCAGGGAAGTCCAACTCACAGATTTTAAACCCAGTCATTCCATTCCTTCCCCCACTGCCTGTGTTCCCAGCAGAATGACTTTGGTCTCAATGCACCATTGTCCTACATCATAGGCCTCTCTAGCCTTCTGGCTCCCACATTTCATCCCATCTATTGATCCTTGCCTGACCCCTCTTCCCTCACTACCCAGTCTGGACCTCAAGACCACTCACCAATACCTTCATCTTCCTCAACGCTCTCACATCTGCTTGGTGAAATGCCTGCTTTCCATCAATTCTACCACTCACCTTTTCTCTCTCTAATCCTAGGGGCTGGGGGGCTACCAGGAGAACTGTGGTATCACCACAGATTCATGGTTTGCCATCAAAATAGAAACTTTAGCCCAAGTCTATCATTTCCCTTGTCTTCTTTCACCAGTTCCTTGCAGAAACAAGTTCAAACATTCAACACTTGGTTGAGTCACTAACCCCAATGTTTACTTTTCAACTGTGATTATACTTCACCTCTCTGGAGTATCTGACACTACTGATCTTTCTCTCTTTGTGAAACTCATATTCTTTGGCTTCAGTGATGCTTTTTGGCTTTTCTCCTACCTTTCTGACCAAATTTCTTCTTAGCTTTCCTCTTCTCCACTAACTTTTAAAAAGTAGTTGTTTAAATCTAGGGTACATGGGAGCTTTTTGCACATTAATTGCAACTTTTCTGTAAGTTTAAAATTATATCAAAATAAAAAATTACCCAAAAAAAGTGGGGAGTGGAGGGGGAGTTGTTCTGCATGGTTCCATCCAATATATTGACTCCGAAGGATGTCCAGGTACAATTTTCAAGTAGAAGTAAGATTCAGCCTTTGGAGTCAGGGTTTGAAATTCAGCTCAACAGATGTAGCTTTGTGCCCTTGGGCAAGTTGGCTGCCCACTCTAAGCTTCAGCTAAACATAAAATATGGTTATTGCCACTTTACTCATAAAGAAGTTATGAAAAATGCCTAGTGCAATGCTATATACAAGTATACATAATTTAATAAATAAGAGCTTTATCATTAGCACATATAGGTAAGGGACTCAGGGACATTCTCAGGGCTGGAATAATGGGGCATGTACTCTAGTACAATCAGTGTGCGTCATCCAGGGAGAATAAGTGGAGGGGAGAAGAGAGGAGAGAGGAAAGAAGAGGAGAGAGGAAAGAAGAGAAGAGATTTGAAAATAGAACTCTGGATAACAATTATGTTTAAGGAGTAAAACCAGAAAGCTGATCTAATGAAATCCACTAAGAAGACAGCCACCTGTAATTATCATGGCATTGAATTCACCCTGGCTTGTGCCATATTTCCCCTGTTTCACTCCCCTTTTACAGATGAGGATAAAGATTCATAGTGTTTCAGTGATTTTCCCCGTGCCACATGGTTAATAACAAAGTTGGAACTTTAACTTAGGTCTCTAAGTCCCAAGCTTGGTATTCTAGCCACCCAGAGGCATATATATATATATGTGTGTGTGTGTGTGTACATATACATATATAAAATATGTATATGAGTATATACATATATGCATATATGTATATGTATACACACACATATATGTATGTGTATATGTACACATATGTATGTGTATATATATGAATTTAGCCACAAAGGAAAAATAATATATAATTTTCTGTTAATTATTTACTTTGTGAATCAGTAACTGTAAGAGTTTCATCTGGGCCTGGTACTCAGTCCCTAAACTCCATCAACACCAATTTGTGATCAGAAGGAATCAGAGCTGGTTGTTAATTTGGTCCTCTCACTATACCAGTGGTTTACAGTGTTCCCTGGCACCCCAGGGGTACCAGGACTCAAAGGCTACTGAAAATGGTGGTGGAGGGGAGACTAGAAATCCCCTGACCCAACTTTAATCAGAGAAGCTCCACTTGTTTCTGTTTTATTTATTAGGGTTCTGCAAAAACTTATTTTTAAATATTGGGCTCCATATGTAAAATAAGTCTGAAAAGCTCTATATCTGTGGACTCTGTCTGTATCTGGGGCTGAAGAGAATTAGTTTAACAGTGTTTCACATTGCCCTCAATCTCCTTTGTGTGATGAAAATTTTCTAGGAGTCAAATCAGAAGCTTACTTCTTCTGATGGGAGGGAAAGAAAAGAAAGGCCTGTGAATGCCTGATTTCATATCTCAAAATGAGGGCACAGTCCCATATTGTTCATTCATTTCAATCACTGATTCATTCAGGTGGTCTTCAAACATTAGCTGAGAACCTATTATTTGCCAGGCCCGTGTTTTAGTAGAATTAATTGTGTGGGAAAATGAGTATTTCTAATCAAATCATATTTTAACTGCATTAAAGAAAAAATAATACCATTATTATGGTAAAATCCTTTTTAGAATGTGATCTTTTGGTAACCTGCTTGTTAGTGGAACTTCTTGGAATGGAAAGAGTTTTGTTTGTTTTTATTCTTAAGGTGGGGTTCACCTAAACTCTCCCAAAAATCACAGAATAGTAATTGCAATTAATTAAAAACAAAAGATTTTAAAATAAAAACCTTAAAAATTGCCAAAATAAAGAGAGCCTTAACTCTAATAATCTATCTCAGCCCTGGGCCGTCAGGGAAGCCCAGGACAGATCATCCAAGTTCAAACCCAGGAGACTCAGCAGTCTCTCTTTCTCCTTCACAATGGCCTATAGGAGGGGGGCAAAAAGAGAGAAGAAGGCAGGAACGTTAACCCATATTGAGAATGTACCCTCCACCACTGTCAGGGCTGGTCACTTTCTAGAAAATGCCTTGCTTAAATTTCATCGTCAGTAGGCGGGGAAGATTTTGTTTTCCTTGTTCACAAATGAGGGCCCTGTGGCTAAAAAAGACGGAAGGAACCCGCCCAGGGCCAGCAAGCTAAAAGGTGTCAGAGTTGTGATCTAGATCAAAGTCCATGCGACTCCCAAACTGTAGGATTGCAATAGGATTAGACAAGACAGCTTCTAAAAGAGCCCGCAGCAACCAGAGGCTGAGGTTTGCTCCAGCGCTAGAGGAAGCTTACGCGGACAGTGCCCAGCAGGTTAAGCTGAACATGTGCGCACGTAAGCCTCATAGACGTACTAGCATCACTTTTTTTTTTTTTTTAAATACTTTATGTTCTAGGGTACATGTGCACAAAAGTGCAGGTTTGTTACATATGTATACACGTGCCACGTTGGTGTGCTCCACCCATTAACTTGTTGTTTACATTAGGTATATCTCCTAAGGCTATCCCTCTCCCCTCCGCACTACTCCCACCCCACAACAGGCCCCAGTGTGTGATGTTCCCTTTCCTGTGTCCAAGTGTTCTCATTGTTCAATTCCTACCTATGAGTGAGAACATGCGGTGTTTGGTTTTCTGTTCTTGATTGCGATACTTTGCTGAGAATGATGGTTTCCAGCTGCATCACTTCTAAACAAGGACTGCTTCATCTAGCCCTCAAAGTAACCCCACAAAGTAATGTTCTATTATCACCACTTTTTGGTAGGAAAAAAAGAGATTCAGAGAGGTGAAGAAACTGGCCCAAGGGCCCCAGCTAAAAATGATGATGGTTGGATTTGTACCATGATTTCCACTTGTTTTACAGTAGCAGGTGATGGAATGAGATGACCGTGTGAAAAAGCCCAGCCCAAGGCTTAATGACAATGCAGCAGAGAATTCAGACTTCAGTCGGTCCAAATCACTGGAGAAAATGATGAACACACTTTTTCAGCTACAAATTTCCTTCAGGCCAAAACACCAGCCCTTCTCCACCCTTGGCATGTTCATGTAAACAGTCGTCATCTTTTGAGAATTAAGAGAACAACCTTACCCTAGTAAAAAGGTCTTGAGAAGAGACCAGATCCCACCACTGCCTAAAAGCATTGTCATCCTGCCTTCTCAAAAGGAATTCTGAAACCACAGATGGGCAGGGGTCCCTTGGTCCTCAGACTTGATAATTCTATGCCTCTCTGCACAGCTGGTGTCTGGGCTCCCTGGCATTGGAGTGGTATGCTATTCAATGAGTCATTCATTCCATCATCCACTCAACATCGGTTACTGAGTACCTACTATGTGCCACGCCCCATTTTAGGCAGTAAACAAAACAGAAGTCTTTGCCCTGTAGAGCTCATATTCTACTGGCACGAGGATATTTTTTTTTCTTCTAGTGCTTTTCAATTCATAAAGTGCTCACACATTCACAACTCCATTCAATCTCCACATTAAACAGAAGAAGGGTAGGGTACGTACTATTAGCAACATTTAGAGGTAAGAAATGCTTACGGAAAATGGGTGATTTGCCCAATTGCTGAGTTATGACAAGAATTCTTTTTTGTTGTTTGATTTTTTAAAAACATAGTAGATATGTAGAATCCTTGAGATAATATAGCTAAAATCAGTGAACATGCAAAGAACATTATAAACTGTGGAACAGGGCTACCTCAAAGTTGAATGAGGATGTAAGGCTTATTTGAAAGATGGCATAGTGACACTCTTCCAGATTACTTATAGACTCAGTTTAACAACAGGGTATGGGTTTCAGCTCCAACTCTGTCCCTTTCTCAGTATCATAAGGAGATATTATTTTTCCTAGATCCTCTTACTCTGCATGAATTTCATCTTGATGCATATGCCAAAGAGAGGCAAAGAATCTCTTTCTTAGATCAGAAGGATCCAGAATGTAACTTTGTAGTGGGCAACATATCTTCTCTTCTAAAGGGGCACTCAAAAGAGCACCTGTTGGCTTTTAAAGACCGTCTAACAGCCTAGTGCACAGGGGCGCTCTCTGCTGGTTCCCTGGGGGATGAGGTCAGGGGCTTCTCTACCACAGAAGCAGCCGCAGCCCTGCCTCAATGCAGGAATATGCTTGGCTCTGTTATTTTAAGATGATTTGGCGGGTAGGGGTTAGGCCAGCCCAGGCTTGGCTCATTTGATACCTGGGGATGTAGTGGCAGGGCCCTGGGGAACAAAACACCCAGGTGGGGTGTTAGAAGCATGTCATTACTACACAGGTAAAAACACTCTTGCAGAAGTGACAAGTCTGTCCGTTGCAATTTGGGGAAAGGAACAAGGGCATGGGATAGAGGTTTCAAGATGTGTGTGTGTTATAATAGAGGGATTCAAGGTGACTATATAAAAGGTGACTGACTTCCTTTCCTATCTAGGTGTAGTTCAGTATCTGTTCAATGAGACAGCAAGCTGTTTCTTATGTGCCTCCTCCATTAGACTGTGAGGTGCATACAGGGCAAGCACCACAATGCTTATCTTCCCCATCTCTGTATCTCCTGATCCTAGAACAGGCCTTGATACTGAGAAAGGGCTAGATAAGTATGCTTATTGGTAAATAAATGCAGGGAGGGAGGGAGGGAAGCCAGTTTGCTTGAGAGCCTGGGCCTCAGCTGCTGGGAGCTGGGCTTCAATCCTCCATGCCCAGCCAAACTCTCTGGCCAGCCTCCCTTCCCCAGGGCACCCTCACCTCGGCAGACTGGCCTGTGGTCGCTCCAGGCTGCAAACATGTCGCTCACTTTCATACAGGTGATCCGCTTGGACCCTTGCAGGTCATAGCCCTCGTTGCAGGTGAACTGGACGCTGGATCCTAACCTGGGAGACAAGTTGTGTCTGTGAGCTCCATCCCTGGGCCTGCCAAGCCCCACCCCGAGTCCTTCCTGGTTCCATAAAGAAGCCCCACTTGTTATTTTTCCTTCGGGCCCTTAATCTCTGCTCCACTGTTTTATCACTAAAAATCTCCATTGGAAGGAACATCTGCTCTTCATCTTCTTTTTTTAGACCGTTTAATGGTTTTAGGATTGAGTTAAAAGGTGACTTTGTGAGCAAAACAGAGATCCTTGGAGATAAGCACCAGTTAGGGCAGCTAAGAGTGGGTGGATGATAGCCATAAACTTTAAGGAAAATGGTCTCCTAGATTATTGCAGGCGCGAGTTGCCTGCTGGCGTATCATTGCTGAGATGGCGGCCCTTTGTACCCTGGGTGCATAGGTTTTCTGGATAACATGGGCAGTCTAACGTTCCCTCCCCCCACCAAAGCATGAGCACTGTGCCAAGGACTGAACCAGGAGGGAATGTCAAAGCCATAGCTCTTCTCCAGAAACTGCCTGTTCCTACATCCATGCCATCCTCTCCATTTCCACCTGCAGGAAGGCCAGCCCCTGTCTTCCTCCCAGCCAGGCCACCCCACCCTTCCTGCAATCAGAAAATTCCCAAATAGATCTTACCTGAAATCCGAGCCTAGTCTTTTGCCCCTTTCGGGTATGCCAGGGTCTGGACACATATTATGTCCTTGGGACACACCAACCTGAGTTACTACAAGGCAAAGAAAACACAAAAAACAGCACACACAGAGATGGACAGTCACAGGGAGGCACCAGTTGGGGCAATGTCTCAGGGTGGGAGGTGGAGGCAGAGACAGAATGAGGCCCTGCTTTGTTGGGGCTGTGTGGGGTGGCCAGAGTCTACTGGCCTGGGGTTTCTTGAATGTGCAAGATAGGAAGCTGCTTTTGAGAAAGTCCTTTGTGAGCAAAGTCATCACGAGTGTGTGGGCTCAGAGACAGGCCCTCCATGCCAGCCACCACCTGCTTCCCTTTCCCACACGAGCAGCCAGAGGTGGACCATCCACAGACCCTGGTGACCTCCCACCCACGCCTATGCTTCAGATCTGGGGTGGAGACTCTAGATGAAATGAACCCCCCACCTCAGCCCCAGATGGAGAAATGACCCAAAGAAAGTTAAATAAAAGGTGGTTGCATGATCAGAAACGGTAAAGAATGTAAGAGAAAGTGTAGTCAAAGTTCAAAGCTGGGACTTTAGCTCAAACACGGACATTTCTTTTGAGAAGCCTCTTCCCATCAGATACATCTTGAGCCAGAGTAAGCAGTCACCAGAGCATCCCCTACCCAGTGCCACCCATCAAGGGCACTGGGCAGAGATGGCACCTGTGATCGTTCTGGTAGGTGGTGCAATGCTCTGACACTTGCCAGCGCCAGAGTCCTATTTACAAAAACCATATGCACAGTTGTCTTGGCTAGAGGAGAAGCTTGGTCAGGGCAGCGGATACACACACAGTAGGGAGGGTAGGCAACCCTTTGGCCCCTGCCTGTTCCTTTTTGTCGGGATGCTGGTACTGAAGAGGCTGGATTCCTGGCTTTGAGGATGACCAGGAGCTGGGGCCAGGCACACAGCCTGGTCGGAGGAGTTCCACTCAAAGCCTCACCAATCCCACGATCCCAACAGCAACTTCTAGATGGGTTCCAGGGCATCTGGACAGCATTTGGAATTCTCCGACTTTGCGTATGTCCCCCCATCCCACTCAATGTCCCATAAGGTGAACAAAGCACTCCGTTACTCACCCACTCACTCGCTCACATAGGTACACAACAAGTATTCATTGAGCACCTACTGTATACAAGGCTTTATTTGAATACCATGAGAAATGTGAAAGGTGGTCAGATAAGACCACTGTCCTCAAGGAGTTTCCAGTTGAGTGAGGACATAAACCATGGAAGCGGACTGTGGGACCACAGTGGGGAGGGATGAAGGATGCACCCACGTGTGAGGCTGCCTGGAAGATGTGGCATCGAATATGGGCCTTCTGAGCTAATAGGATTTAGACACATGGCAACAGAGATGACAAAGATAGGCAGGCACGAGGAGTGACGTGGAAACCTGGAAAGAGAATGAGTGTTATGCAGTGTGACCAGAGTAGGAGGGAGGGTGAAGAGTGACAAGGAAGAGTGGATGGTGAGGTTTCAGAGATCAGACTTTTACAGGGTTCGAGCCTGATCCTGAAAATGATGGGGAGCTGCTGGAGAGTTCTGGTGGGGAGAAGGTGTGGTGAGACCTGCTGGCTCAAGGGTGGGCCAGTTACCTAGAGATGAGTTGGGAAGTTTTATGATCATTCAGGTTGAGGACAAGAGCCTGGAATGAGGCTAGACATGAGACAGCAGGAATGGATGTGGCAAAGAAAAAATCCCTGGGACTCACAGGGGACCTAAGGCATGAGGAGAGGGAGCAGGGCATTTCCAGGTCCTGGGTACCTGTGAGGATGTAGGTAGTCTCATAGAAGTAAGGAAGGTGGGGAGCTCATTTCAGACTTACTGAGGGAGTCTACAGTTAGAGGCCTGGAGTAGACCATGTTTAAACCTCCAGGTAGCCCAGGCTATGGCTGGCCACGGAACCTGAGGATTTGGACAGACTGCATGCTCAAGCCAGACACAGGCATCCTCTTGGTTGTGTGCAGTGAGCAGAGCCTTTTGGGTAGCTTCCCTTTGCCTGACATTCTACACGGCACGTTCAAGCCAGTTACCCCTACCCCTACTTGTCTCTTACCCCCATCCGCTTCCTTGCCAAGCCTCTACCTCCAAAACTTTCACATCCTGAACCATTCCCACCAGTCCAGACACCTCAGGCTGGGAAAGTAAGATGGAAGTGCCATTCCCAAAGCAGAGCAAGCTCCTGCTTCCTGGAAGCCTCGGTGTTTTGCAAGTAATGGAACGGAGATAACTAGGGGGTCCTCTAAGGCACCCAGAGGGTGGGAAGGAGGAGGAAGCCTGAGCTTCCTTATCTGCTGATAAGCCAGGTCCCCCTACAGCTTCACAGCGATCCATCCCTACTGCAGACTTCCCAGCTAAGCACCCACCTTCTTTAGATCCTGTCTAGTCAACCCTGTGGCCCGCGAGTCACACCCATCCCAAAGTCTCTGCTGACCACTTCATGGGAACCACACAGCGCCCTTGCAGCATGTGAAGAACATAGAGCAGTTCCCTGTCCCCTTCTCTTGCCCTCTCATTCAGTATTGACGCCACCCAGGAAGCAGAACGAACAGAAGGCTGCCCCAGATGGGGCTGGATTCAAGAGGCGAGACCATGGCAAAGCCCACCCACCAAGCCACAAGCCCCCGACAGACAGAGCAGAATCTACCACCTCCCCTTTCCTCAGTCAGTCCCAAATGAAACCCAGGCACCATCCAGAAAGTCACAAACCCAATGGTGACGCGGCTCACACCCAGCCAGTGCCCCCTTCCAGGGAGGAATGAGCAGGGAACAGTGGTCCCACGAGGATCTTCAAGCTTCTCCAGGAAACAAGCAAACTTAAATTTCAGCGATCAGTTTACTGTCTGAATTATGGAGGCATGAGGTGTTTCTCCCTTTCTTTTTTTTTTTTAATTCCAGCCTTCCCTGCCTACTCAAAACCAACTGCTTGTGTTTATAGCATTGCTTTCCTGTTGGCTACTGAGGGACAGGAATGGGGAGTAATCCTTACTCTACTCTGGGAGGGCCACTATGGTGAGGGAGAAGCTGCAACGTGCTCAGGAAGGCGACGCCTTCTGCCCAATGCAGGGAGTAACAGGTGGGTGGGTGGTCAGAACCAATGGCAAGGGTAAAGGTAGAGAGTTGGGTCCACTCTCCCTGTGAACTTCAGGACAGCTGTCCACAGGGAATTTGGGCAGAACACAGAGGGCCAGCCACCTGCAGACATGTGGCTACCTGGGTCTGAGGCAGCTGGAGTCACACACCCATTCTTTCTGAGGAACTCTTAGAATGGAGGCTAATATCTTCTTGATAGAGATACGTATATTTATTTTTCAAAGAGCATTTGCACTCTTTCATTAGAACAGGGTTTCTCTTTATCTTCCTGAGGGAGTTTTTGGCATCTTCATTAGTCTGCTTAATGAAAACCCTGAACCCTGTCTCCAGAAAAATGCACCCCACAGCATCACGTGTACTTTTTTGGCTAGTTTGTGGGCCTCCTGAAGTCCTAGGTCAACAAGACCCATCTTAGATCCGGCAACACTCTTGGGAGGAAGGCAGGGTAGGGTTTTGCATCCCCATTCTACAGATGTGAAAACTGAAACATTCATGTCTGGGGTAACATGCTACCTGAGGACACAATTGGGATAAACAATTTGATCTCCTAAGTCAGGGCCATTTCCTTAAGTTTGCCTGTGGCTCCGGGGCAAACTGTGAAATTAAACCGTGCCTGCCTCAGTTCATTGGGTCTCCTGTGGCTACAGAAAGAAAAAGCCTGTGAGGGTCAGGGACATGGCTTGAGCCCTCTGCAGATTCCTGGCCTGACCCTGGGCTCTCCCAGCACCCTGTCCTTTCCCCTAAACCTCTAGTCAAGCACAAAGAAGGGTCTTCTGGTGCCCTCTGCCATCCAGTCTCTCGGGGTGGGTGACTGGAGATGCCGGTTCCTAGCTGTACCCAACAGCCTGTGGCAACTGTCTCCACTCAGACGACTCGAAAGTCCACAGACAATCCCCAACCCAGGCTCAGTTCAGTTGGAGCCTGAGACCAAAGTGCCTCTCGCCCTGATGTTCTCCCAGCCACACACATCGGCACAGAGCTCGGAAACCACCGGTGCCACTCTGTGTCCTTCTCTCCTCAATAAGTACTTCTAGCATCTCCAGGAAAGTGAGCACATGGAGGCAAGATGGAAGGGGAGGAATGGGGAGGGTGGGAGGAGCAAGTCAGGCACAGGACGAGAAGCAGGGAGAGAAGAGGGGGGAGCAGAAGGATGAGAAGAATGATGGAGCAGAAAGTGGCAAGAGGAGAAAAAGTGGAGGGAGAGAGGACCGGAGATGCAGGAGAAGGGCAAAGGGAGGGAAGGAGAAGGAAAACCAGGTCAGTCATTTGGAGGACCAAGGAAAGCTCCCTACCACTCGGCCCAGAAGGAAAGTGGAAGGTTTCTGGAAAAACCTCCCCTGCTTTCAAGCCCAGTCTTGTGGAGGTGCCCAGAACCTTCCCCAGCCCTTCCTGGGCTTTAGTTCAAAAGCCCCTTAGCACAGGCCCTGATCAGGTGTTTTTGGGACCCACATTCCAGACCATTCCCCAGAACTAGACCCCTATTAACCTTCCCAACACTGGTAGCAGGAACATGTTCTCAAAGATGTCATCCTCCCCTTGCCCAAGAAGAGAGCCCCCAGTGCTTCCCCATTGGCCCAAGACAGGAACACCCCCCCGACCCCCGCCACTTCCCCAGTCCTCTCTTTGCCCAGCCAGGTCCAGGGGCCCTTGGAGGAGGTTGCTAGTCACTCCCCTGCCTCCATTTCCCAATCTGGCCTTGGGAGCTGGAACTGGGGCCCTGCAGCCCCCAAGATCCCAGCCCAAGGTTATTGACTCCTAAAAGAGGAGCCGAAGGAGGACTGTCTTAGCAGGTGGAAGTGATTCAAAAGGAAAATAAAGAGAGAAATGTAGCAGTAATGACTCCCTGGACTGCAGTTCGAATGGGAAGTGAGGGAGAAAGAGGAAAAAGGAGGAAAATGGGAAGAGGAGGAGAAGGCAAAGGACAGGCCCTAGGGCTGCTCTTTGGCCGCTGGGTCAGGGTGTCCAAGCCCAGAGCCCAGGATGGAGGAAGCAGGGTTGAAGGAAAGTCATTCCAGCATCATCTGGCTTCCCCATGGTTTAGTGCCTGGGTGTCTGACCTCGAGCAAGTGGCCTGGCAGGCAGGCTGGCGGGCGGACACTTACACACAGATGTCTTCTGGCTGCTATCTTTGCTGGGCATCAGCTTCACACCTCGAGACTTCAACTCAATTTGCTTCTTGACTAGAAAGGAGGTAAGAGGAAAAACAACGTGAGTTGTTGCCTGTGACCAGTGATAAGGGTCCCTCCAGAAGGATCCCCTCGTGTGCCTTGGAAAATTCCATGATGGGTCAAAGCCAGGAACTTCTCTGGGTTGGGACATTCCAAGGGTAGCAGTCAAGTGCAATAGGACCTCAGACATGAAGGAAAAGTTACTATCAAGGCTGGCCCTCTAGGGGAGGCCAAAAATGTGGTTTCCCACCGGGTGGGCTTTGAGGGGCTCTGGGACTCCCCTGGTAGCCTCTCACAGATGTCTGAGATTTCACTAGAACTACCAAATTCAACCTGCTCCTCAGCAAACTTTTCATGAGCATTGACGTGTGCAGTCTTGCAGCCCACCTCTGCTTCTCTGCAGCTTCTTTCCTACCTCAATTCTGAGCCAGCCCTGACAGGGTATGGTAGATCAGATTATGGGCCCAAATTGTTGCTGCTCCTTGTATTCTCACCATTTGCAATATAATTTTTAGCTCCCCCCATTATAGAGGTGGAGTACATTCCCACACTTGTTGACTCTGGGTTTGGCCTTGTGACTTGCTTTGGCCATGGGAAATTTGGAGGCCTTGATGTGTTCAAAGGCTTAAAAGCACCTGCCAGATTAGGCTTGGCCTCTTGCATGTCTGCCATCATTGTGAGACAACGTAGCTGCTCCCAGGAGGATAAGAGACACATGGGGGAAGAGCGAACTAGCCAAGTCAAGCCCAGTCAACATAAGCCAACCTCTTACGGGCAGGGGAAGCTGAGTCCTGGAGGTCACTGGGAGATGGTGCCTGACTCAAGTGGGTGCCTGATGGATCAGATCTGGCTTTGACCCTGTCACTAAGTCCAGCCTAGTCCTCAGTTCATCAGAACTTTGTCAAATAGCACACAAAAGGTGCCAGAGCCAGAACTCCATAATTCCAAAGGCCATTCCTCTGTACCCATCAGCCTCCTTTGGTCTGACGACCCCCATTACCCAAGGCATTCTCTTGGCCTCTAACGGCTTCTCCCTGTCTCTGGTTATGTGCCATGGAGCAGCTGTTCAATCCCAGCTCCCCGCTGTGCCATCTTCCAGCTGGCCTCACCTGCTGACTTAGCCCTGCTCAGATTGATACCCAGCAGTGGTGACAATAACTGTAACTGGGCACTTCCTATATGCCAGGTCCAGGGTACTTTACAAGTTCTTTACTTAAAGTAGCGTCCTTGATTCCTCTTTCTCAAACCCACGCACAATCCATCAGCAAATCCTTCCAAATATATCCCAAAGGGAACCACTTCTCACAATTTCCATTGTCTATCATCCTGATCCAAGTCTGTGATACCTTTCCCTTCATGACTACGGCCTCCCATTTTCCACCCTTGTCCCTATATAGTCTGTTGTTAGCACAAGAACCAGAGGGATCCTATTAAAATGTAAATAAAACCATATTATATCTCTGCTCAAAACTCATCAGTGGCAACTGATCTTTTCTAGAGTAAAAGTCCTTAAGATGGCCTGCAAGACCAATTTGTTCTCCCCGTGACCTCTCTGACCCTGTACTTGGCCTCGATCACTCTTCTGCAGCCTCATGGGCATCCCTGATGTGCCTACAATATGCCAGGCATGCTTCTGCTTCAGCCTGCCAATTCCCCAAAAGGCTTTCCCACAGGTATCTCTACAACTTGCTCCCCTTTTCCCTTAAGTGTTTGTGCAAACATCACTTCTTCACTGAGGCCTTCCCTGACCACTCCATTAAAATGACACCTGCAACCCCAGCTCTCCCTGTCTCCTTCCCAACTTTATCTTCCCAACTTTCTAACGTACTATACCATTTATGTAGTTATTTTTGTCACTCCACATTGCAATGTAAGCTCTACAAAGGCAGGAATTTTTATTCATGGGTGTATCCTCAATGCCTAGAATCATTTCATTTGGTCCTTATACTTTCAACAACCTTGACTGGTAGTTATTATACCTACTCGATAGATAATCAAATAAGGGTTCAGAGTAGTTTAAGTGACTTGCTATAAGTCACACAACCAGGAAGCAGCTGTGTTCTTCACTGAGCCTCAGTCTCTTTTCTTGCGATCTGCACCCAAAGCAATCCCAAGGAAACTGTCAACCTTCTCCAGGATCTGCTCCCAAGCTCAGGCTCTGAAAACTCAGGTATTTGCTCTGGACTTGAGGTAACATGCCAATCCCCAAATCAAAGTGCACAGTAATCAGATATGCAACGAAGGCTGCCTCCCAGTCCCCCAACTCTGGCTACACAAAAAAGTTCCCCAAGGGTTTGTTCTCTGGCAGGCAACTCACTGTCTAATCTGAATGCCTGATAAAATTCAGTTATTACCACAGAGTCATAGCCTCCCAACATGCATTCAAACTGTTATTATAAATGTGCATTACTCTCCGTGTGTATCCAGCAGGAAAATTTCCAATGAACACTAACGTGGACACATGATCAAATAGAGGGCATTAGTAGGGAAACATACATTATTCAAGCCAGCTAATACAGTGCGGCAGGGGGATAGCCCTCTGATTCACCATCCCTGGGAGAACAGGAGCAGTTTCAGCACCGCGACAATTTGAGCCTGAAACCCCTAGTGCCCCAGCATCAGGGCAGCAGTGGGTGATGGGTCTCTATGACCCGGTGCGGCCCATTTGTGGTCAGATCTGTGGAGATGGTTCAGGGCACCTGGTCGAGTGGGAGGTGAAGAAAGAGTCTTCGTCGTCTCTTTGTCTCTGGCTCTAGTGTCACTAGAGGATGGGGAAAGAGGAAGGGAATCAGCACCACAGAGGCCATTCCCAGGGGCAAGGCTGCTTGGCCTCTCCTTGTAGGGGCTGATGTGCGCGGACTGTGAGATATGCATGGCCATGAGGGGAGGCGAGGCTAAGAGGGAGCCTCCCCTTCCTCTCTTCTCACGGTTGCATTGAGGAAAAGTCTCCCGCTCCTTGCCTCTCTCAAGGGCCCAGAAGGAATCCTTCTGATTTCTGTGTCCACCCTCTTCACTTGTTCCTCCCCAGGGAAAGACTGCCTTATCTAGTGGATCTGTGTTTAATATTCACTGGGCTGTTTCTAGTAATGGATGATGTCATCATGCATCCCAAGCTTGAGCTAACTTCTGTTCTTCCTCCTTTACTTCCTGCTACTTAGCATAGGATGGCATTTGTCGAGGTGAGAACCAAGTGAGAAGGAGCCTGAAAAGCTGCAGGGAGCCCCATAATGTACATATGAATTTGGTAATTACCACTTTGAGCTGGATTTGAGAGGTTGCATCACCAGGGTTGCCTGTAGCCACCACATGGTCGTCGGATGCACATTAGAATCCACAGATAGAGTCTTTGTCCTCATCATGTTAGCCCAGGGAAATACAGGAGTCACAGCTCTTTGGGCAAGGGTTCTGCATACCAACAACATAAACTCTACAAGATACATATTCAGGCCTAGCTGACCGGGGCCCAGGCACTGGGGTGGTAGAACCTTCAGCTGGCACACACCATATGGGAGCTGATTGACGGGTCATGTAAGTTCCTTCACTGAGGGGTAAGCTCTCGGCAAGATCCACATCACCAGGAACATTAGCATTAAGACATCACCTCCAGATGCTGGGGTCTCAGTTTTTGAGCAATCCCAGGGAGTTATATTTAGCCATCCTGTTTTTGTAACAGTCTGCCCAGGTGGGTGGGGTGATGAGTGATCACGGAATGTGCAGCACCATGGGAAATCAGCCATGAAATAAGCTCATTGAAGAGCTAACTCAACAGACTGGGAAAGACCAGGTTGTGAAGGGTCGGAGAACAAGGGCAGGTCTCCAGAACTCCGGAGTGTACTACCAGCAGACCCAGTAAGAAAAGAAGGTCAAAACAATAAGATGAACAAAATAGAAAGAACCTAGAGGATTTCTGGGATGTACTCATTCATGATGTTTGTACATGGATTTTTTTCATGGAGCACCCACTAGCTTTGTGCCAATGATATTATACTGAACCACTTGTCTGTGAAAAGAAGAATCTGTAACTATCAACGCAGTGGAGGTAAAATGGAGCCTGGGGCTGGCTCCATGGTCTGGCTACAATTGAATGCACACTCCCTGATAGTATGCTTAATATTCACTGGGCTGCTTCTTGTACTGTGCATTTACCCATGTATACATGCACATTTCTGCCTACAACAAGCACACTCACAAGTACATATTCATGCACACGTAAACACATGGATACAAATATTCACATACAAAAAAGAAGTCATACACGTCATACACATACACTGTGCACGGTTTTTACTGTATGTGAACAAAGTCAGGACTCCCAAGGGAAGGGCGCTGACTGTAACTGGTTGATGGAAATCTTACTAGGTACATTCATCTCCTCCGAATGATAATGACTACAGGAGACTGCCAGGCTGCTCCATTCATCCTTTATATTCTGGTTAATTACAAGACATTTTCCCGCTGTTGTAAAGGTTAGCGGGACACATGGTACACATTTAGCTAGAAGAATCTGGCAATACAAATGCCTCTCTAGTCTGCAGCATGAGTTATTGGGCTGAGCTAGTGGGAGACAAGGGCCCGTTAGGGGAGGAGAGAGCAAAGGGAGGCCTAACCTGTCTCCAAGGCTCTGGGAGTCAAGAAGTGGAGGGAATCTGCATCTTCTTTTCTTCCCAATGGATTCAGACTTCTCTTTATGAGGGTGAGCCCCTCCACTAAACTTGGTCATTCCCCTTGCCCTGCCACTTGGCAGTCTTGCTTGCTGAACTATCTTTTCCTTTCCTGCCACTACTCCTTCACCAAATCCAATTTGCTCAGCCTTATACAATTTCTCCAATGTGTATCCTTCTTTCAATGTTCTAAGACACTCTTACCTATACTCATCCTCTTTTGCTAGAGTTTTCTTTGCAGATTCATCCCTTCTAGCCCATCTTTTAAAAAGTCGCAGGGGGTGATCTTTCAAAAACTGAAATCTGACCTTGCCTTTTTCCTACTTGAAAAATTGTTGGGTATGCATCCTG